ATATAATGCCCTCTTCTGGCCTCCCTGGGCATCTGCACACATGTGACACACATACACAAAATGAAAATAAGTCTTCAAAAGACAATATATATAAATAATATATGTAATACATAGCACATATATGCATGTATCAATAAATCACACTGTACCCAATAAATATTTATAGTTACTTGATATAGAATACAAAACATATGTGTCACACATGTATCAGAATAACACATTCTACTCCCCTAAATAGGCATAATTGCTAGGTGTCCATTTAAAATCTTTTAAATGATTTTTTATTTTCTTTTTAGTTATGTTTATAGGGATTATGTATGCATAAGAACAGGTGCCCACTGAGTTCAGAACAGGGGCTTGTGACCCCTAAGGCCCCAACATGGATGCTGCTTATCCTAAGAAAGCACTCTTTTCTCCTTTTTTCTTCCCTTCTTTCTTCCTTCCTTCCTTCCTTCCTTTCTTTCCTCCTCTCTTTTTTGTTTTTTTACCTTTTGGCTTATATTCTTATTTTACATACCAATCCCAGTTCCTCCTCTCTCCTGTCCGCCCATTCCCCCTACCAACTCCCCATCCCACCCCCATTCACTCCTCAAAGAGGGTGAGGCCTCCCATGGGGGAAGCATCAAAGTCTGTCACATCATTTGGGGCAGGACCTAGGCCCTCCCCCATATATCTAGGTTGAGAGTATCTCTACATAGGGAATTGGCTCCAAAAGCCCTTTCTACTGGTTCTACTGCCAGAGGCCCAATAGACTGTCCTGGCCCCGCAACTAACACTCACATTCAGGAGGCCTGGTTTCATCTTATGCAGGTACCCCAAATGTCAGTCTGGAGTCCATGAGCTCCCACTTGCTCAGGTCTGCTGTTTCTGTGGGTCCCCCTAACACAGTCTTGACCCCTTTGCTCATCACTCCTTTCTCTCTACCACTGGATTCTAGGAGTTCAACCCAGTGCTTAGCTGTGGATCTCTGCTTCTGCTTCCATCAACTACTGGATGAAGGCTCTATGATGGCATTTAAGGCAGTCATCAATCTCATTATAGGGGAAGGGCATTTAAGGTACCCTCTCCACTGTTGCTTAGATTCTTAGTTGGGGTCATCCTTGTGATTCTTGGAGATTTCCTAGAGCCAGGTTTCTTGTTAACCCCATAATGGATCCTGCTATCAAGATATCTCTTTCCTTGCTCTCCATCTCTGTCCTTCCCCCAACTTGACTTTCCCAATTCCCCATGTTCTCTTGCTAGTGCTAGTACTGATTTCCACAGTGGCTGTACAAGTTTGCACTCCTACCAGCAATGGAGGAGTGTTCCCTTACTCCACATCCTCTCCAACATAAGCTTTTATTTGTGTTTTTGATCTTAGTCATCCTGACAGGTGTTAAGACTGTATCTCAGAGTCATTTTGATTTGCATTTCCCTGATGGCTAAGGATGTTGAGCAACTCCTTAAGTGCCTTTCAGCCATTTGAGATTCTCAGTTGAGAATTCTCTGTTTAGACCTGTACCCCATTTTTAAATTGGATTATTTGGTGTTTTGGTGTCTAGTTTCTTCAGTTCTTTGTGTCAGATGTGGGGCTGGCAAAGATCTTTTCCCATTGTGTAAGCTGCTATTTTGTCTTGTTGTCTATGTCCTTTGCCTTAAAGAAGCTTCTCAGTTTCAGGAGGTTCCACTTATTAATTGTTGCTCTCAGTGTCTGTGCTACTAGTGTTATGATCAGGAAGTGGTCTCCTGTGCCTATGCATTCAAGGTTACTTCCCACTTTCTCTTCTAAGAGGTTCAGTGTGGCTGGATTTAAGGAGAAAGCATTCTTAACATCTGAGTCATTCTCCAACCTCAATTTAAACTTTTAATGAAACCTAACAAGACTTTGTCATGTCATGACAGTGATTCATTAATTCACTCAACAAAAATAATATTTTAATATAGCAATAATAATTATGGGAATGATTTATTGAGCATTGTCTTTCTTCAAAGCAATTTTCAAACATTTTTCTTAAATAATTCTCATGGCTGATTATGACTTCCTACTTTTCATAGGAGGAGAGTGAGATTTGAAGACAATAAATGATACCCTTAAAGCTTTGCCGCTAGTAAAAATCTACATTTTGCTGAACCCTACCACAGCACATAACCTAGTTGCTCGTCAGTACTATTTGATACTAGGTTGTCATACATTCTGAGTTGGGTGTGGCCATACCCAGACCATCAGGAACCTCTAATGTGGCTTTACAGCTGCAACTCATATGGGGTTGGCACTTTCATCTTTAATCCTTTGTAACCATCTGACCAAATGAAATCCTATCTGAGGTAGCCAAGCATAATGAGAAATTACATTGGTTTTCTCCCAGCAAATTCAGATGCAGCTCACACTACAGGTGAGCCACATGTCTGTACTTCCTGCCTATGCTGTCAATTGTCTGTGCTTAGGGATGAGTGTGTTGTCCTAGAAAGTTAAACTTTTGGTCTGGGTTACATCTAAAAACAAACCCCACAAATCAACATTGGGGTCAGAGGTTATAGGGCAGACTGACAACAGGGTCATTATAACAACTGATACCAGCAGCATCTACTAAATAGCAGGACTGTGGCCCTTGGTCAAGGGAGATTCCCTGCTAACATAGAACAAGAATAATTGCCACTCTTATCTCCCTTATTACAAAATATAGTCCATCCCTTCTGTGAATCCTATAACACTCCTGAGACTAAATATGAACATAAAAGAAAGACAATGACACACAGAGAATTATTGACAACTACTCAACAGGTCAGTCTCAACTCAAGTTCTACTGAAGGATATTACCCACCCCACTCCCTGCTACCATCCCACCACATAATACAGTGTGGCTCCCTGTGTCTCAGCATCTGTGTCCAACTGATACCATCTTCACTCGGAGAAAAGGAAAAAAAATAACCTAGTCACAGACTGGTTCCCCTAATGCTTCCCTTTCTACTGTGTGATTAATCACTTCTCAAAATGAAGGACTTTGAGAAATCCTAACCTCTTCCCCATAGATATGATCTGTCTCTGTGATCCAGATTAAACCATCTCAAGGTAACTTTCCATCTGCAGTTAAAGTCGGCATCCATCAGTTAATATCTAACCAACAGCATTTCATGTCAGTCACAGCCATGCCAGCATTATCCTAATTTTATTTCTTCTTGCCTCATCCAAGATTTTAAAGTTTTGCACTTAGGTTGCAGCCACTGTTGCTTAGTTACCGAATAATGATCACAATAGTCACTGACTATTGCCAAGGACTAAAATGACCCCTTGACACAAACTGTTTCACACAGTACTACTGTGTGGGAAGGCAAAGTAAAAACACTAAGAAGGAAGCTCCTGATACCTAACCTCCTGTGTCCCTTGATATTCCTGGTCTTGTCACCACTGTGTGTCCTGAAGCCAGCAGAAATCATTTTCCATTATATCCATCATTCTTGCAAATTCCTCCTCGATTGGTTTTCCTTTAATTAGGAAACTGTAATCGCTCTATTTAAACCTCCGTACTACCTACTTCATCCCATCCAGAGTCTATTTCCTCCATCCTGCTCTGCTTTGTTTTTCCATAGCAACAAGAATTTTCCAAGCACCTTGCAACTTGAGTGAATGCAATGTATTTTATTCGTTGTCTATTTACTAGTTGTTCAAATTCTCCAAGTTTGGGGATCCTTGTGTGTTTTTAGTGAACTAGTGTATCTCACTTATCAGGTACCACAAAAAAATTACAATGAACTCACACATAATACTGTGAGGAAGAACCAACGTTTAACTGTTCCTCTTTTTCAAATAAATGAATGAAAGATGAGAGAATATAAAGAAGTTATCAAAGGTCACATTGCTTACAGTGGCCTAGTCTTGGTCCCAGTCCAGGTTTTTCTGTCACACTGTGTCTATCAGTTTGTCAGCTTTACACAAGCTAGAGTGATCTAGGAAGAGGAATCTCGGAGGAAATTCCTCCGTCACCTCTCCTGTAAGCAAGTCTGTAGGGCATTTTCTTCGTGATTGACGTAGGTGAACCCAGCCCAAAGCCTACACCGGGCCAGTGCCAGTCCTGTGTACAAGTGGTCTTGAGTTGTATGAGAAAGGCTGAGCGAGCCAGAAGAAGCAAGCCAGTGAGAAATGCTCTTACCTAGCATTCACTTCAGTCCCCGCCTCCAGGTTCCTGCCTTGAGTTCCTGCCCTGGCTCCCCTCAGTGGTGAACTATACTCTAAGAGGTGAAACAAACCCTTTCCCAGCTTGCTTGTGGTCACGATATTTTCTCACAGCAATAGAAACGTTACGACACACACCAATGACGTTTGCCTACCGTGATTGTGGGAGGGAATGCTAGCGTGGCGGTGTAGAAGAAAGAGCAAACCCAAAGGCCAAGCCAAGCAGTTTGGATACTTCCCACTGCAAGAGCTCTAAGTTGAATAGTGATGTAATTAGGCATATGCCTTTGAAAGAAAACTCAAACAGCTGCCAGCTAGAGCAGTGAAAAACCAGCAAATTGCCAGGAGAGAAAAGCACCACACTTAATGGGGCTTAAAGCAGCTCCAAGATTCCCACAGCTAAAAATGGCTTATTTCCAGCCCATTCATCAGTAGGTGGTCCATTCACCCGAGTCGCCTCTTAGAAGAAGTCTGACACAGCAGAAATAGTTGTGAAAGGTACACTTTATTCATATGCATTAGACAGTGATAAACTAGAAACAAGTGAGTTATTTGCTATTTTGGTGCAGTCACAGCTTTTAATAGGATTCAAAAGCACCAGGTGGGAGACACCTCTCTCCTCTGGGGACAATTTGTACTACCTGACATGTTGACATGCTGTCTGACTTGCTATTAAAGGGTGGGCTCAGAGTGTAGACATGCCCTCCTGTCAGCAGCACTTCATGATTCAATGCAGCTTTGTTGTCAAGTAAAATAAGGGTACCACCTACAGTCTGACTTCAGTCAGCTGGTTGACTGGCCCCTGAGATACAACCTTTTAATCACACAGTCTTGCTTAATCAATTAGAAACAATAAATGGTCAGGTGAGATAGTTGAGGATACAGAAATTATAAATAACATATATATATTAATAGAAATTCATTTTCATCACAGAAAAGTTGCTATCATAAATACTTCTTTGGTTGGTTATTCTAAAAATATAAATTTCCATATAAATAATGTTAAATATTAATAAATAGGTTTAAGTTTTAAATTCAAATATTGCTGGCAAGAATATTCTTGTTGGGACGATTTCCACCCCCAAAACAGCACCGACTTCTTTTCCGTTTCCTTAGGCTAAGTTTTCGTGACAGGTGAGGCATCACACTGATGAGTTCATTGACAGCTTTCCGCTGAACCTGAAGGTCATTTACCTGTTGGGGGAAAAATGTAGTTAACTCCAATTATGCAAACCATTGTGATATTTTTCTTTTAACATCATGATTGGTGAAAATAGAAATATCCCTTTTAAGAAGAACAATTCTGCATAGCAACATATTCCTTTCATTTGTAGCAATCACTTCTTTAACAGTTGAGACTACAAAGGTCATTAAAAGTCCAAGTTGTACAAGAGGGATAGGGTGCTTAACCACTACAGAAATCTCAAAATGGAGTACTAGCGGGACTCTGGGGTGGAATGGGGATGAGATTGAGTTTGCAGTAACTCTAAACTTGAACCAGGCGCCTAATATCCTGGAACTTGTTTCCTTGTGAAGAGACTGGTGAGTGACCTCTTTATTACAAAGTCTACCACCTTATGCTTTGCCTAGTCCTTTCTAGCCATACAAAAGAAAAATTCCTATGGGCCAATGCTCCCCTTGGTATAGCAGAATACTTTGACGATCTACCAAGGAGTCCAGAAACCCACATGTAGGAAGGAGAAGGCCCATGTTGTTGGGAGCTAAGTTCCCTCCAGAGATTCTGATATCAGTCAAAGCTTGAGAGCCACCAACACAAAATGAGTACTAAAAAAAAACCCCACATCCAAAACAAATGAAAAACATGATTTCATGATTTTAGATTTCTCCCAAATCAGATCATTGTCATCATGTTTAGAATGGGATTAAAAATAAACACCAATCATGTTCATATTAGTAATAATTTGCTGACAATGACACTTATAACAGTGTTTCCTGTTCTCTGCCTTCTACACCATTCATGGAACTACTTAAACAACTTCTCCATTGCTGGGCATTGGTGACACATGCCTTTAATCCCAGCACTCTGAAGGCAGAGGCAGGTTGATCTCTGTGAGTTCAAGACCAATTTGGTTTACAAGAGCTAGTTCCAGGACAGCCTCCAAAGCCACAGAGAAACCATGTCTCAAAAAACCAAAAGACAAACAAACAAACAAACAAAAAACTTCTCCATTGGATAACTTTATGCTTAATAAAATGAAAACCATTTACTGTTATCTGGCTTGTTTGTTTTTTCTAATGCTGGAAATACTCTGACTTCCTTGCTACATTGCCAAGGATTCAGAGGCTGATAGGACACAAGACTAGTTACTGAAGAGCGTGTGTGACCCAAGGCTACCAGAGGTAAGGCCTTAGGAGTAACAGGCTTCTATAAGCTGTGTGTTGTGAAGAGAAATTTACTTTCCAGCTTTCAAAACATTGCCAAGAATCCAAGAGACTTAGCCAGAGCTGAACAGCAAGCTGGAAGTGGGGGTGAGTTAGGAATGAGTACTTCATCCATCTCTGGTTGATGAGCTAGGATGTGCTGCCATCCTCCAGCCCCTGCTACAGAGCATGAGTCATGGTAGAGGTGGACTCAGGTAGACTGAAAGCTGGGCACAAAACATAAGACTGCAAAACACAGCCAGACACGTCTCCCTATCGTTTGAACCCATTTGCCACCAGAGCCTAAGGCTTTAGAATGCCTTTGCCTTCTGGATAAAATTTAGAGAAATGAGGTTTGCCTTTATGCTTTTGAGTTATCTTGCAGATTCGGGAAGTCATAATTTAAAGGCTTAGGTTTCACATGTTAAGGATTTACAACATAGGATAGCTGGAATATGCCCATACTGGGAAGTTACTTGAGCAAAACTTTCATAAACTATTAAAAGCAATCCTTTCCAAGTATGTCTACCTTTGCTTCCCTAAAAACAATCTGGACTGCATAGCATGAGAGGCTAGACAGAGACCAAGAGTAGGATACCCAGGTGTCTCTCGGGGACTCCACTACTTTCTCTTCTCTGACCATCATTTTCTACCTATGACACTGCACAGGTTTGGTTTTGTTTTTGACAAAAAAGATTAAACAAATGTAGTGATCCCAGCTGGTTCCTATCAAGATGAGGAAACAGCAGCTCAGCCAGCCAGGCTTGTGAGTCATCTAAAGTCACAGTTCCTTGTGGCCTGGCTGGGAGGAGGAGAACACAACGTCTTCTCACTCCCTCCCACTGCTCTTTCCACTAACATACAACCTCCCGTCCTAAGCGAGAGTTTCCATCACACACCCAGGGGGACCACAAGAGCTCTGCTCGCTGCTCCCCTCGGCTGCTTCCTCCTCAGAGCACTCACTCATCATGTGGGCAATGGTTTTAATGTCTGTGTTTTTCCAAAGTTGACCAAATCCCTCCCAGCATGCCCGTGGTGAGGAAGCATCTCAGACAGGGACTCATCTCCCTGCTTTATCAACTGTTCAGTAGCCATCTGATAATTCAAGACAGAGCAAAAAAACATTATATTAATACAATATTCTGCAAAGTTGCCTTACCGGAATCTTGGTGAGCTTCACAAAGTCATTGAGTTTCTCCATGCTGCTGTTGAAGAAGTTAGCAAACAGGTCTGCCTTGATGGTGTCTATGCTCCTCTGGATGGCCTGGTTGTCCTTCAAGGCTTCAAAGAGTTTGAAGTAGAAGGAGACGATCTGGCTCTCAATGATTTTTGTGTCACCAGCCTTGGGAAACAAGAAAACAAAGTAAGTCTGATGGGACCCGGTCCATTAGAAACAACAGGAAAAAATGTGGCAATAGGGAATATTCAGCTTACCTTTTGCCAGTTCGTCAAGATATTAAAGACGAGGTCCCCTCCATTCACGACATCTAAGCTACTTGAGTTCTAAGGAAAAAAGGAGATTTTATAATTAGTTCACCAACAGCCCTAAAAATATTTATCGTGTTTCATTGAATTCAGTGCCGACGAAAGTCGCTGATTTCCTTCCCAACCCTTCCATTTACTTCTAACAAGCATCCCCAAAATGTTCCATGTCAAATTTAGCCAAAGACTATTTTGCATTCTTTTAGATTTAGCTCCTTCTAGCCTAATCTTGAATTGTAAGGCCACAAGTAAACTCAAAAAAAAAATGATGATGAGATTTCAAATACCCCAAATAGCTGCAGTGAGCTAAAGAAAGTTACTCTCAAATTAAGAGAGGGTTTAAAAAAATCATCAGATTAATCCTAATGTGTACACTGCCCCCTTATGGTGCAGGTTTCTGAAACATCTGTGTGCACTCTTAGGATTTAATCACTGCTTGAAAAGATAGCTCCAAACACGTGTGAGTCAGCTTGATTTGCACTGTAAGGGTAAAATTGACTTTGGATGTTTGCACATTATTATCATAGCTATGTGTGTAATGGCAGACATTCAGAAAAAAGTATAAAATTTTAAGAATAAAAAATATTATTTTTGTCAACTTTGGTCTATCCAAAAGGAAACTGACAAAAGAAAAAATGTAAACCTCTGAGAAAGGTGACTCCTCTCAGACCTCTGTAAGTGGCTGGCTTCAGCGATAATTCATTTGTAGTAGAATTTCAACATCACTCTTCAGAGAAAGGCACAAGCAGGGAACAGCTCTGAAGCAGAAACTTCAAGAACATCGCTTTCTGTTACTTTTAAGTGATCGGTTGTTCCCCTAGGTGTTTTTAATGGCAATATTCATCTCTCACTATCACTTTCATAATAGTTTGAAGAATGAGAAATGAACAGCCAGCCATGAGGGTAAGAATGCTTCCTAACATGACTAAATGATTTTAAAGAAATCACAAAATAAGTATGTTTGTACCTCATACTCATACTATGCCCATCGTTGGGGAGATTTGTAAACACCCTGTGAGTCTCCATAGCAAATTGAACAGAGAGTAAAATCAGCATCAAAATCATTAAGTCAATAAACACCTCACCGACAAATAGCAACATTGCACCTAGTCTTCTCAAAATGACCGTGGACCAAAGAAGGCAGCCCGGTGTTGACAGCGCAAGTCAACATTAGTCATTTTCAACTACAAGCATTATTAAAAGGTCATACTTACAAAATATTTCTTCAGATTTTCTATTTCTTCAATGAGTGTGCCCTGGCAGTAGCAGCCAGACATAGCCTGAGTGAGGCAGAGCAACAAAGCCAAGATGCAACGTGTGGTGTTCATTATCTCAGAGCTAGGCCAACGCGATAGGAGTATTAAGGACTCGGCTGATGGCGTCTTCTGTGGTAGCTGATCGGCCAATGGAAGCTATACCCTGCGCCTCCCTTTCTGCCAGTATTTATACCTAATCGACAGCTCCTCAGGATTACGTGTTTTCACACGTTTTTTAAGATGAGATGGTGACAGATAGGTGGGGAAGCTAAGTTACTTTGCATTATAAGTCTGGTTTTGTGGCATGTCAGGGTTGTAGCTAGAGTTTCCTTTCGACTCCTTGGGCTCTCTGACGATGAGCCAGACCCATGGTTCCCACCTGTGCCATTCTTGTGGGATCCCCAGAAATCACTTTTACTTCACACCATTAGGGGCTGGGAATTGTTTACGTGTCTTCTCTCCCTTTAACCCTTGTAATGTGAATTCCTTGTCCACAGAGCACAGCAGATTGAACATTTGTTTGTGGTTGGGAACAGCTGAGAAAGGAAACTCTTGGGCTTCTCAAACCCCTGCAAAGGGGAAGCCTTCTTTAAAGTTTCCTTGCAAATGACCAGAAAGCAAGGAAAGCATACAGTTAAAAAACCAATGTGGCTAGGAAGCCCTTCATCAGAATTGATTAGTAAAATACCTACCACAAGTTCAAGATCACTCAATGTCAAACTGCCCAGAAGGAATAAAATGCAGGCAACATAGATAAAATATCACTGTTTAGTTTCTCCATTAATAAAAAATAAAAATGCAAGAATAACTTCTTAAATATTTTATTTCAACCAACATATCTAAGGTAACATTTCAATGTACATCAAGGTACTTAACAAATGAGTCTCCATTCCTCTGCCAGGAAATCTTTAAAACATCTTATACACACAGCAGAAATCACTTCGGGACTAGCCATATTTCTAATGCCCATGTCCACATGCGGCTGAGGCAACCCCACTGAATAGTCCAGCACTAGACACATACTTGTACCAAATAACCATTAATAACTAAGAACTGCTTTCCCCCTCAAGTTCAAACGAGAAAATTCCCGTTCCTTATTTGGTAGTGTCACTATGAGAGACAATCCTTCAGGATGGCCAAAGAGACCCTCTGCTCTTTTGTTCCAACTCAGTTGTGTATCTGCCTTCCCTGTATACATTAGCCTATGGGTGCAGATCTAGTCCTGCACATTCTAGCTGTGGGATCTTGCGTGAGCATTTTTATGACTTGGCTTCCTCATCTGTATAGTGAGCTTAATGCTGGTACTTCCTGTCAGACTTCAGCCAAAACGTTCCATCAAATGGTCCTTGGAAAGTGGTGGGAATTCACAGGAGTCACTCAATAAAAGTTATCAGTTGTTATGTGGGGACACTGCGTAGGTCCTTTAGTAGCAGCCTGCATCTTGTACATTGAGTTCCTTTGACCTTGTGTTTCCTTCCCCCTCACCTGTGCCCCTCAGAGTGGTACCCAATTATCTTGACACAGAGGAAAAATCATCATCTCCTTGAGTTCTTTCCCAAACCTCCAACTTCAAATTAATACTGGGCTAGCACTCACGTTTTTCATGGAGTCTTAATCCCTCAGTCTCATCTGGGAGGTATCTATTCATATCTTTTCCCACCGGGGGCTGATTTTTTTACAACCAGAAAGTGTTTTATTGCCTCCATGACATACTTTATTTCCTGCAAACATTAAAGCACAGAGATTTACACACACACACAGTTGAACATTTATCTGAGAATGTGTTTTGATGGCTGGAGATGCAGCCCAATAGGTAGAGTGCTTTTATAGCATGCCCATAACCCTGGCTTAAAACAGGCATGAAATGCGTAGGATGATCAGGAGTTCAAGGTCACCTTCTACTTTGGTCAGAATAAGAATCATAAGAACCTGCCTCAAAAATAAAATTAAATTAAATTTAAAAAGTCTAGCTGGTTGGTGGTGGCACACACCTTTAATCCCAGCACTCTGGAGGCAGAGGCAGGCTGATCTCTGTGAGTTCAAGGCCAGCCCAGTTTACAGAGTGAGTTCCAGGACAGCCAGAACTATACAATGAACCCCCATCTAAACAAAAAAAAGCTATATTAATCTATTTGCCCTCAAATTTTGTTCAGTTCCAATGTTATTCCCTCAAATTTGTAGGAAATTAGCCTTCTATTAAGTGTGATTTATTACTAATGCTAGAAAAAGATGCCATGTCTGCTTAGCTAATACCTAATGACTGGGACCATTCTATGTTTTCAATTAATTTTTAAAAAATGATTTTTGCACTCCCAGTAGCATTAGATGTGTGTTCAGCTTACTCCACATCCTCAACAGCATGAGCTGTCACTTGTGTTACTGATCCTGGCCATTCTGACAGATGTAAGATGGAATTTCAAAGTAGTTTTGATTTGCATTTCCTTGATGTTAACAATGTTAAACATTTAAGCATTTCTCAGTCGTATGAGTTTTCTCTATTGAGAATTCTGGGCTTATGTCTGTACCCCATTTTTACTTGGATTTTTTTGGTAGCAATAAAATGAATCCTAATGACATTCTGCTATACTCATACATGAGTGCCATGCTCATCTATCACCAGAGAAGCTTCCTCTTACAGCAGATGTGGACACATCCAGACCCACAGCTAGACACTATGCAGAGACAGAAAGAGAGACCTTGGAACACACAGCCCTAAGAGGAATGTCTCCATCAAGTCCCCCCCCCCAGAGCTCAGAGAACCCTGAGGAAGAGGAGGCAGAGAGTGTAGGAACCGGAAGGCATGGAGGACACCAGGAGAACAAGGCCCTCTAGATCAACTGAGCAAAGCTCATGTGAGCTCACAGACACTTCATCGGCAAGCGCAGGGCCAGCATCTTTGCACATATACTATTATAGCTTTCAGCTTAGCATTTTTTTTGTACCTCTGAGCATGTGAAGGAGCAGGTCCCTGATTCTTGTGCCTTTGCTTCGGGGCTGTTTTCATTCTGTTGGGTTGCCCTGTCCAACCTTAATGTGATGATTTTTTGTTTTAGTTTATATATTTTATTTTGTAATGTTTGGTTGGTATTTCCTAAAAGCCTGCTCTTTTCTAATGAGAGGCACAAAGCGGGTGGATGCAGATGGAAGGGGAGATTGGAAGGAATAGAGGGAAGGGGAAGCTCTAATCAGGGTACATTGTATGAGGAAAAAGGGGCCCATTTGCTCTTTTATATTTTATTTTATTTTTTTATTCATTTTACACACCAGACACAGTTCTCTCTCCCTCCCACCCTTCTCCTCCCTCTTACCTCCCCCCAACCCACCCCCATCCACTCTTCAGAAAGGGTAAGTCCTCCCATGGGGAGTCAACAAAGCCTGGCACATTCAATCGAAGCAGGAACAAGCCTCCCTGCATCAAGGCTGAGCATGGCTTCCCACTGAATGGAATGGGCTTCAAAAAGCCAGCTCACACACTAGAGATAGATCCTGCTCCCACTGCCAGGGGTCCCACCAACAGATCAGGCTATACAAACTGTCACCCACATGCAGAGGACCTGGTTCAGCCACATGCAGTATCCCAAGCTGTCTATCTGGAGTCTGTGAGCTCCTTCAAGTTCAGGTCAACCGTCTCTGTGGGTTTCCCCATCATGATCTTGGAATCCTCCTACCGCACCCCCCCCTGCCCATTTGCTCATATAATCCCTTTCTTTGACTGGACTCCCGGAGCTCAGCCTGGTGCTTAGATGTGGATCTCTGCATCTTGGTCCATCAGTTCCTGGATGAAGGCTCTATGATGACAGTTAGGGTAGTCACCAATCTGATTACAGGGGAAGGTCAGTCCAGGCACCCTCTCCTGGATTCCTGGGAATTTCCCTAGCAACAGGTTTCTCCTTAGCCTATGATGGCTTTCTCTATTGAGACACCTCTTCCTTGCTCTCCCACCCCATCCTTCCCTCAACTCCATCATCCCATTTTCTAAGTTCTCATCTCCCATCCCCGTCAAAAGCCCAAATGAAGCTATGAAGTTAGAGGTGCCCATACAGCAAGTGAAGAGTGTGGAGACAACACTGATGCACACAGGCTCGGTGGTTGCTCACACCCCCCCCAAGAGAAATGCAGACCAGAGAAAATCCTTGAGGAAGATCCAGTGTGGTAAACCAAAACATGTGAAAGACATCAGGCACACGGCTGCCACTCCCTGTCTTCTGGACACCAATAGTGAAACTTTGAGTCTCTAGAAACAATATTGGAAACTTCCTGGAATAAAACCAAAGCTAGTTCTATCTATAATCTCACATTTTTCCCCAGTGGGTTACAGTATTGGGAGAGAAGAGTTAAGAAAAGTGGGGAGCAGACAAGATGGCTCTGTGGGTAAGGGTGCTTGTCGCCAAGCTTGAACACCTGAGTTCAAAATTGGGATCCACAAAATAGAAGAAGGGAGTCAATTTTTGCAATTGTCCTCTGGTCTTCATGGGCACACAGTGGTGTGGACTAGCTCTACCCCCAACACATAAATAAATAAAAACATAAATAAATAAATATTTTTAAAGAACTGTGGGATCCATATGTTAAGTTGAGAATTCCTATTGGAGATAAAAGATACATATTGAAGCTATTCATACAATTTGGCCAAATGTTCAGATTGCAAACTGCATGGCTGAAACTCAAGCTCTATTAACACTTGGTGTCATGGTGAAACCCGGAATTGTGGAATTGCAGAAGCTGCCAATGTCCTATCCTTTCAATTTACATGAAGACCCAGAAAAATAAAAGTGACTTTTTTTTAGATTCATTTAACTAACTAATGAAAAACTGAATCTAAAACCCCCTTCCTAATTGGTCGATATCTACCAAAACTTATTGGCTACATTTCTAGTTTCTGTGCTAGATATGCAAGTTGGAATAGATAAATCCAATAACATTTGGTTTTGCTGGTTGTTTTTTCCTATGGAACTGGTGAGGGAGTAGCTACACTTGATTCCTTTACAGAGAATAAAAGCTGTGGGATCCTGGCCTAGGCCTTTCAGCTGTCTTGACTTCACAGGCATGCAAACCGCACGATCCGCTAGGACACTGAACCCAGAACAACACACACTACTCCACCTGAAGCCC